AAAATTATATTATGAATAAGCGAAACATATTGCTAATCATAATCAGTTTCGGAAGCTATGACTGTGACCCATAAATGATACAGTCATTACATTAATGGGCAGATTTACTTGCATTTTTTTAAAGAGTATAAGACTTGGGATAAGTGGAATATGTTGCTAATCGGTTTTGGAAGCTAGAAGATTTGGGAAAATGATGAAGATTTGGAAAGAGGTTGTGAATATTTTTATGGTAACTCTTTGTAAGTAAGTTGAGAGTTTTAAAGACTCTATTAATAGAGAAGAGAAAAAATGTAAGGAGAGAAGAGAAAAAAAATGTAAAGGGTTTAAGAGTGAGTATTATGAGGAGATGGAAGAGTGTACATAATTTTCGCATAGACGACGAGTGAGTCAACTTTACCCCTATTTATACAATTTTCAAATTATTTTGTTGGGTCACACTTTTATCTAACAAGTAATTATCAAATCAATTACAACTCTAAAATATGCTCATACTGAGATATCAAACAAATTTACAACAATTACACTAAAAAATAAAAAAATCAATCCCAACTCTAAAATATAATCCTAGAGACCAAACAAATTTAAACCAATTACACTCAAAGAAATATTGATCAAGATTCTTGTTATTCGCCTCTTTAATTTTTTTTTTTTTTTTTGAAAAAATCAGTTTCTCTCCTCACTTTTTCCTCTCTTACCTTGTGTTCTTTCGGTATTTATACAAAGATTTCTAGTTGATTTCTGACTCATTCTCATCATCCCTAATTTTTTGAGATTGAAGATAATACTCCTTTTAGGGAAGTAAACTGGGCAATGTTCATCTTGATTATGCTCCTCGCTGATTTTTTAAGATCTTAGCATATCAGGTTGCGGTGGTTCATTGCGCTACACATGTGTTTTTGGCACGTGCGTTAGCTACATGTCGTATTATGTTTTGATGTTGTTTCGTAGAGGTGTCATGTCTTCATTGGTGAGAATTTCAATAGGATTTTCCAAGTAATTTTATAAGTAGTAATTAAAAGTTAAAATTTTAAACGGATTAAAATACCCAAAACATGAGTTAGGAGGGATAAAACATCCTCTCTTTCCTTTCTTTCTCCCGACCAAATAAAAAAAACTTGAAAAATTCTCAATCCTTCATCCCAACCATTCCTCCATCAATTTCAACAAGGGTGGGTAATATAGATTCAAGGATTTTTTGTGTGGAAGAAGGGGATAAAATTGTCATTTTAATTAATAACAAGAAAAAGTAGAGTGGGTAGAGGTGAGCGCCAATATTATTGTTGGATTACCAACTCACTACACTACCGCCGCCGCCGCCGCCGCCGCCGCCGCGAATGAAATGCACACCATCCATCACTCCTACATTCATCATCGCAATCGGAATCCAACGCATCATCGTCTAAATTTTTGAAGAATGAATCCAGTGGTGCAGGCCGCTCCATCGCAAAAGGGGAGTCCTATGTTTTTTCTGCTTCGAGATCTCTTGATCTGGGTGCGTTTAGTCACTATAAAAGGATTCAGTTGCTAGCAAAAGCAGAGGAACGGAAAAGGATAGCTGGCGACTTTGCGACACATCTAAGTGACGCTGATGGCACTGAGAGACACAATTGACGGGATGTTCTCATGGATCAAAATCTATGGGGAGGAGAGATAGATCAGAGAACTCGGGGGTTAAATTAGTGATATATATATATATATATATATATATATATATCACTAATTATGCCTTTGAACCATCAGATTGGAGGTTTGTGGGAAGCACGTTTTTGCTTTAACCCAATTGGGTTATTTTCTGTTTTGTTCCCTGAAAATTTTGATTTTCCGATCAAATCACGGCCTTGAGGAAGAAGGGAAAGGCACAGAGGGGGTAATTTTGCCTTTTCAATATACATATATATATATATATATATATATATATATTTTAAGTATGTGAGGATAATATAGTCAATTCACAAGCTCCTGTCAACGTGAGGTGCAAAATTGTTTCCTAAAGTAAACAAATATGTGCACCAAGGCTTTAACACTTGTAATTTTCAATTGCACAGCTGTTATATATATATATATATATATATCACTCGACCAGATTAGAAAAGTTTCGGTTATATCTAGTAATTTTGTTTGTCTAATATTTTTTTAGGAATTAAGAAAGGAAATAATATACTCTTACATCTTACAATATAAAACACACAAAAGCCATCGCACATAAAAAATATATATATTTTTTCTCATTTATGTAGATTCACCTCCATATGTTAGATGCAATGAATACTTCAACTCCTTTTTGTTTCATGATAATTTGAGTTAACTCGTACCACATAAATTATATAAGTACATAAAATGAATCATATTGTTGCAAATATTTAGAATGTTTCATTTATGCAATAATATCCCACTTTAAGTTCTACTATTATTCTTTATTTCAATATATGTTGGTACCACTTTTAATGTAGGAAGACAACACTTTCAGTGGAAGAGTTGCATGGTGATAAATGTACATAACTTTCTTTGTTTTTTCTTCAAAGTTAAAAGTATAATATTCGCGCCAAAAAGAAAAAAAAAAAGTAGTATAATAATCTGTCTTCATCCGCCATATTTTATTTGAAAAAATTATGTTCAATTTGTAATCTAATCTTCGAAATTTTTACAAAGAGTTGGGTATTTTTGTAATTAGACACGGGAAGAGAAATTAATTTTTTTTTAATTATTTTTTAACATATAAGGGAAGAGAAATTAAATTTTTTTTTTTTTTATAATTTTTTAGGAAAAAGCTTGCTTTAGGCCGCATCAGTAGGTGTCTCCTTCTTATGTTGACGTGGACGACTCTTACCTTGACATTTGTCAAAAAAAATAAAAAAATGGATCAGTCGGATCTTTCTATCGGTGGAAAAGAGGATCTAACCTTTTTGAGTCCATTGCTGTTTGTGAAAACGTTGTGGCGAGAGATGGCAACGGGTGAGGGAGTTGAATTAGGCTATTTTGGAGCAGAGAAGAAGGTGGTCCGTTGTGTGAGATGGATTCAGAACTGAGTTGTGTGAGAGATTTGACAATGACTCGAGCTCCGGTACGGTAGAAGATGGAGTTTTCTATTGCGAAAAAACAGTGTGTAAAATATGCTTTCAAAAATTCAAAACCCATTACAAAGTTTGTGTGAAGTTGGCGGCCAATCCCGCCGTCGGAAATTGGATTGGTTTGCGGCCAATCCTGTTCCTAAATGTTTGTACCCTTATACACCACCAATTTGATGTCCGCCAAAAGATTGGTGATTGGGAGATTGATTCACGATTCAAAGGGGTTGTGGTGTCTTTTTTTGTTTATGCGGTGAAGCCTTCCCGGAGTTTACTATTTTCTTTTCTATTTTTAATCTGGTTTCTATTTTCTTTTCTATTTTTAATCTGGTTTCTATAAATCTCAGGAATTAGCAATATTGATCCATGAATTGTAGAAAAATTTGAGAGAATAAAAGAACATATTTTGGCACCTCTCTTCTTGCGGTTGAACTGGGTGGTGATGAGAAGGGAAAGAAGAAATAGGAGGGTAGGAAACTTGGTGGTGATGAGAAGGGAAAACAGAGGGATTGCGCATGGTGGTGGTTAGCCGAAATTTTCTTGACTTTATGATAGAAAGAAAATGCACAGACCCTGATAAAATCTTGAATTTGAGAGGAAACCCGTAAAAAGATCTGATTGATCTATGGTTAATTGTAAATTTTTTTTTTTTACAAGTGTCAAATTGTGAGTGGTCTTCATCAGTATAAGCAGAAAATTCCTGCTTATATGGCCTGAGGCAAACATTGTTCAATTTTTTAACATATAGGGAAAGTGAATTTATCAATAGTGGATTGTGGTGGTCAACTTTCTTTATAATAATTTTATAAATCTGCATGGTCTATGCATATTATAAGAAGTGTAGAATTGTAATTTTTTTTTTTTATAATTTTTTAACATATAAGCATATATATATATTACTAGTAATAATAAAAAACATCTATTCTGGTAATGGCAACGAATAAGGTCAGCCAACTCCTTGAGTGTCCTGAAATGCTTTGAGTCACGTAAATGACCCCACGAGTCCGTTGAGTGTCCTTAAATTGTGATGCATATAAGTGGAGCCCACGTTTACATTGATCTGCCCAACTCAAATCAACTTATTTGTTGACATGTCAACCTCAAGCTCAGGTACACGTCACTAGTAAACACAAAGATTATGGTTGATGACACCATCACCATGAACGTACAGTCAAATTCAAGTCCCATTATGTATCATTGTACATTTTATTTTTAGAGACTATTTTATTAATCACTGTGAATAAGGTTTCCCATTCTGCTTATTATGGGTATGGATGACTAGTGCTTTTGAAAGATTTTAAATTTGAATAGAAAAATAATTTTTTTTTTTTAATTTTATAATTGACGATATTGTAATAGATTGTGTATTTTTTTTTTTTGTTTAGTTGAAGAGGAGAGAAGATAAGAGAAGACAATGAGATAATATGTTATTTTATTTGTTATTAAGTAAGAAAAGAAAAAATGCTAATTATAAGAATAGTTTTATAATTTAGAAATATTTATAATAATATTATCTTTCTTTTTTTTTTTTTTTTTTTTTTTTTCAACTAAACGAGTATAAGAGGAAAAAAGGTGTGAAGGAATAGACAATGTGTCTTCCTTCATATTTGGAGGAAATAAAATTTGTAAAGAAAGAATGATAACCCATTTATCTCTTTTCTCTTCTCTTCTTGTTTCTATTTTCTATCAAACAAAGAAAATTTATTTATTCTTTTGTATCTTTTCTTTATCCATCTTCCTTCATTCTAACCCAACAGAATATAAGAAAAAAAAGATACGAAGGGATAGACAGTGGACTCTCTTCTCTCCCAACTGTTTGCAATTATGTTGTTGGCAATATATTGTAGCGTATCTATGGTATGAGATTGCATCCAACAACCGCACACTATCATCGTTTTGTTGGAATTAAAGTAAATTAAATGTATAAGAAAATGATTGAAGAGAAAAAGTAATAAAGAGAATTTATTTTCATAAAAAGGGAACAGTGACTAGATGACGATAAATAAAACATGTACATTAAAAAGTGGTAGCTGGAAATAACCCCACTTACTACTAACGTTACATAATACCCACATACTCACGTTACATAATACCCACATAAACTGGAGAGAGAAAAGGTGAGGAAAGGAAAGGAAGAGAAGGAAAGGAAAGGAAGAGGTAGGGTTTGCATAGCACAAAGCATAAGAAGCCAATAACATATGATCAAAAGCATCCAAGAAACTAGCTGTTTGTTGGCTTGGAAGATAGAAGCCAACGAAAGAAGCATTGGAGTGTTGTGACATCTGCTCTGTAGTGCTTTTGTGTGAACTCAAACAGATCCGACCATGTGAAATCTGGATACTTCCTTGGCCCTTCTCTGTCAACCAGATCCTGTGGAGGTCTCACCACCTTGTCTTCTTTCGGACACACAAAGAAAACCAGTGATCTCCTCTCTCTCTCCCTGTTCACCACTGCCCTATGCAGGCAACTCTTGTATCTCCCATTAGATAATGCCTAATTCACCATCAAACAAAATATATCATTAATCATATCATATCATAACAATGTTACGAATTCTATTCCCCACCCCTGTATTGTGCGCTTCTTTTGGGCATGCCAATCATTTATTTTTTATTTTTTATTTTACCTTCATTTATATATAATTATTTTAATTTTCTTAAAAAAAAAATCCACAAACATACTAGCATAGAAATATTAATATATACAAACACAGCAGTTTATATATATATATATATATATATATATATACATATTCATGCCATACATAAAACCATACACATATTCATGGTTTGAGAGCCATAAAATAATACACATAATAAGTGCATATCGCAAAATGATGCACTCCTTTTTAACGAAGGAAAAAAAATAAGTCACGCACTCCATAATTTAGAGGGTTACTATGCAATGATATCTGCTCCAGTCTAAAAAAATTGCAGAAGAAAAAAAAATATATATATATTTATAGGATAAACTTGCAATTTTTGAAAGGGTATAAATAGCTAGTGAGTTTGTATGAGTGGTCCCTGGAGAATATTAACGATAGCCACTTTAAAAACAACTACAATCCAACACCCTAGCTCATGTGGACATGCTTATGTTGTTATCACTAGTGTTGTGAAAATCTTGTCAACATCTTTATAATGCTAACCCAATATCAATACCATGACCCACTTGTCTCATGTATGTCATTTATGTTAGATCAATAAGTCATATTTTAGTTCTCAATACATACTATAATTTTGTGTATATTATTAACCACTCCTTATAAGGAAGAAAATAAGTAGCATCGTTAATAATGAAAACCTACCACAAACGTATCACCAATGTTAATGACAAGGGCATTGGGTTGAGGCGTGACATCTTGCCATTTGTTGTCTGCAAAGACCTGAAGGCCCCCAACTTCGTCTTGATGAAGTATAGTTAAGGAAGTTGGATCACAGTGAGGGCCAGTACCTAGAGTGAGGCCGGGTTCTTTACAGGACGGATATGAGTTGCATCTCATTATTGAACTTCCATCTTCGAAATATCTCCTGTAGTGGAACCGCTCGACTCCTAAGCTAATAGCCAATAGTTCCATAATCACGAGAGAGAGTTCTTTCATTGCTTTGCAGTAACTTTGATAGATACACCTATAAAAGACAATTTTTTAAAACAGGAACTCATTCATTCATATGGAATTAAGGTAAGAATAATAATGATAATAAGGTTAGCTGGAATTTAAAGAATGACTTATATGACACGTATAATAACTTGGGAAAAAAAGCTACTTATGGAATTATCAAAACGAAGTAAAAATTTTAATTATTTGTAGTCTTACCCTGCCTCTTCAAAATTATTACCCAAGACCAATTTGAAGTAGTCCACCACAGCTGATTTGGGGGCATTTCCATTATAGCCAAATGAAAAGGTCTCCTTCCATGGCAACTTTGCTGAATAACGATCAGCGTGGGCACCGGAATAGCCCCACATGCTCCCGGGCTTCCTTCGAGCACTTAGCTTCTCACTGATCGGAAGTTTGAAAAAGGCATCGATTTGATCATGCGCAGCATGAATAAGAGTTGCATCAACGCCGTGGTTGGTGACTTGGAAGAAACCATGGTTCAAACAAGCCTTCCTGATTAGCTCGGCTGCAGTTATGGTTGCAGCCTCATCACCTTTGAAGTACCCTTCTAAGTCTATTAGTGGCTCTTTGAGCTCTTCATGATTGTGAAGTAAGTCCCCATGTTCCCAAATGAACTCTGTGGGCAAGTTTGCTTGTTTTTGCAGCAAATATGTGTCAAAAACCCTTATCCCATTCTCTTTCTCATCCTTAATCTCGGACGAAGGATGCAAAAACAGAGTTGGAGCACTTGAGTCCATTAGGTCCGACACAATTTGAAAAGAATTGGAAAAGAAGATCTTATTTATAGAAGAAAAAGATAAACTTTGAGAGAAAAAAACTTAGATAGGATATTATATACATATAATTGAAGCTATGTGACAAAGTGATTAGTCTAAATGAGTTTAAGAGTAATATTAGTCCGAGTAAAGGGTAAAAAAAATGGATAGCGAGAGAGATGGGCCAAGGCCGTCCATTGGAAATGGTCGGATATGTTGGAAGATTGTTAAGGAGCCAACAGCTGAGACGAGTGACGCATTCGGTCACTTTCTTAAAAAAAAAAACAATTAAATCACAATGTTAGACCTATTTTTCAAGCGGATGTATAGTGATTCTCAAGTAGATAATCCGATCCATTTGTAATCCGGTTCAAAAAAGGATAAATAATTTGACTATATAGATGGATATATTTGAGAAAATTATTGTTATATTTCCAGAATAAAAACAATTAAATCACAATGTTTGTAGTCGTAGTTGTGTAACGTAGTGTAGTGGTATTTTAGCCCGGCTCAACGTTTGATGATAGTGTATACGTTGAGTTTTCTTGCGTTTTTGTGCCAAACTTAAATTTTTTTTTTAAAAACTTTTAAAATTAATTTAATATATATATATAGATATATATATATACTCCGTAATTAAATTACCAAGTTAAATTCTCAAAAACAAAACAATTAAATCACAAGGTGATATAGTATATAATTTTGAACAAGTAGGCAAGTAAGTTTTTGACCAAAATGGTGTGTTTTTTTGGGAAAAAAATCCTCTAACTTTACCTTATGCGTCATGTTTGCTTTTGACTAAAACCTTCATGTAGGACTCCGAAATCACGTTTTATTATCTTATAGGAAGTGTGCTGATTATTTCAAAATTTTCGAGGCCCAGCTTTGAAATTTTATATTTAATAGTTTTTATTAATTATGTTTCATTTTTTATTTTTTTTTTTAGAATTTTTTTAAAAAAAATTATTTTCAGGCTTATTTTTAAGATTAGTTTTCTTATGTTTTCAATTTCGGTGTAAGTTTTTTTTTTTTTTTTTTTTTTTTTTTCTAAAAAAGAGTAAAATTTAAGTATCTGATTAATAATATTTTAATTACTTTGCAATTTTTATTCAACTTTATAAATTCAAATTTACCTTACTTTGTAGATTTAAAGTAATTAACTCTTATTTCTTGTGAATGATTTCATTGCTTTAGCTGTGTCACAATCAAATGTGCTGTGCGTGTGTGTTCAATGACATCCTTAATGTTTTTGTTCAGTCTTTATCAAATTTTATAAAAATAAATTTACCCTTTACTGATATAAAATATGTAATATAATATATTATTACAATATAAAAATATGGACAATGCTTAGCTACTCACCAATGAGTAGGGTGAAGATACTCACTCTTATGTGGTCCAATAACAAAATAACACATCACCTTTAATAATAAAATAATTCACACATTTTTTACTTTCTCGGATTAACTATTGAAGAAATCGTATATAGTGTTTTTAGGTGTGAATTATTTTATTTTTAAATGTGATGTATTATTTTATTATTAGATCATATAAGGGTGAGTAACTTCATTCTACTCACCAGTGAATAGCTAAGAATTATCCTAAAAATATTATTGACTTTTCACAATCAAAATCACAAATTTAAGAGAGGTTAAAGATGATTTAAGCCTGTATAATTAGTCTAAATCTCATGCAAAGTTGGTATAATTTACTCAAATCATAATATCTATGGTGGTTGCTTTTGTTGTTATCTCATGGTTCAATTTCCAAAATAAAAATATTAAATTAACAATCTCTATCCCTTCTTCCTCGGTTGTGTTGTTGGTTCAATTCCCAAAAACAAAAAAAATTAACATTAAATTACAGTGTCTATACTTTCTTACTCGGTTTACGTTGTTCTTTTGTAATAATTGAAATTGTTTGTCCAATTCTCAAACACATGTGGTGCACTGTTTAATGCTACGCTGAAACTCTTACGTATATACAATATTCTATTGTATGTGGGTTTTTGGATCTTTTCGTTACTTGCGTGTTAAATTCTAAAAACGAATCTCACTTCTTACTCTTAGGCGTTGTTATCTTCTACTAAATTGCTCGTTGAATCCCCCAAAAAACAATTAAATCATAATCTCTATCTTTTCTTACTTTTGTTGTTCAATTTTATTGATCGAAATTGCTCGTTGAATTCCAAAAATGAATATATTAAGAAAAACGTATTTCTAATTTATTATTTTTATAAATAAATTTTGAAAAAAAAACATGTTTGTTAACATTATTTATGTTTATCGATTATTATTCATTTATTTAATTTTTGTTCAAACATATTAATTTTATAAACGTCAAAACCATGTCTATAATTATGTTTATGTTTATGTTTATTTATTTATTTAAATTTTTTTTTTTGCTGCACGAAGAAAACAAAAAAGTTCAAAAGCAAAACAAAAATCATTTTATATGGTTTTAGATAATCAAGAAAGTCACATGATCAATAGTTTTTTGATGAGCATCCCATTTGCTAAGGTTGTGAGCAACCTTGTTAGAGCATAATTGACGAGCACCCCATTTACTAAGGTTGTAAATAATTTTGTTAGAGGATAATTGAACTTTCATATGTTGAATTTTTTAAAAGCAGTTTAAGATTAACAAATATGTTTTTTAACTAAGACAAATATTTTTACATTATCAAATATATTTATTCATAAACAAAAAATACACATAAACATTCATTATGTTTAAATTTAAAAGATAAATAATAAACAATAACTGTTACCAAACTGGACTTAAATTACAGTTTTTATCATTTCTCTCTGAGTTGAGTTATGTTGTTCTCTTTACTGTTTAATGTTGTCCTAAAACTCCTGCACGTACAATTTTAAACACAATATTTTACTGTATGTGATCTTTTCGTCACTTGCATGTTAAAACCTAGCATAAAAGAATCTCACTTCGTTTTTCCTAGTTTAATATTTTACTAACAAGCATAATATTTTACTTTTTCTTAGGATTGCAAGTTGGGCTAGCCCAACTCAGCTTAGTTCCAACCCAATCTTAATCCGAATTGAGTTGGGTTGAGCTAACCCAAATTGTACTTAACATGGGTTATGGTCATAACTCAACCCGAATATTTTTGGACGGGTCGGGTCGGGTTGACGGTTTTTTTTTTTTTTTTTTTTGGAAATTTTTATATATATATATTTTATATTTGCATATATTATTATTAAAAACAAATTATATATATATATATATATATATTATATTTTATTTAGGGCAAATCGTTTTAGCCTCCCCAATCGCCTCTCTCTGAACTCCCCCTCCTCTCTCTCTCTCTCTCTCTCTCTCTGCAACAACTGCAAACTACAAAATCTACAAGAGTCAGAACTTCAAAACCCATATATTTCAGTTTTATCTATCTATCTGCAACAATCAAAAGTTCAAAACCCATATCGAGCATATCATTTTAGCCTCCCCAATCGCCTCTCTCTAAACTTGCCCCCCCCCCCCCCCCCCCTCTCTCTCTGTGTGCAACAACTGCAAATTACAAAATCTACAAGAATCAGAACTTCAAAACCCATATATTTCAGTTTCATCTATCTGTCTGCAACAATCAAAAGTTCAAAACCTATATCGGCATATCATTTCAGATTGTTCAAAAAATCAAAACCCAAATCTTTCAGTTTCCATCGCCCACTGTTCCAGATCAGGTTCGCCGTTCGCCATTCGCAAGCTTCAACCGCTATCTCTCAACTCTCAAGCTTGCCCCCTTCTCTCTCTTTCTGCAACTGCTAACTTGAATGTATGGGGACGTCGGTAAAGAGAGAAAGAGAAAGAAGAGAGAGAGAGAGAGAGAAAGAAGAGAGAGGAGAGAGAACGGAGAAAAAAATGAAATTTTATTTTTTATTTTTGGGTTTTGGGTTGGGTTTGGGTTGAGCCCGAACCCAACCCGAATATGTCTAGGTTTTGATAAAATTCAATCCGAACATGAACCCGATTTGTAAACTTAAAGTCCAAATTTCAAATTTTCGGGTTGGGCTTGGGTTAGCCCGCCCAAGTTGCAGCCCTACTTTTTCTCTTAATTGAATTTATTAAAACGGAGAGCAATATACAAACAACCATAAGCCACTTGCTCAAACAAAGCTACAACAACAAACACACAGACACCAATTGAAAAAAAAAAAAAAAAAACTGGTGGGACTATAAATTTTGATTTGGGGGCAAACTATATACGAATTAAGTACTGTATAATTAAATGTATAAATAATATAATTTTTTTATAATATATATTGAGAAAATATAATTCAAAAAATGAGAAAAATATAACATAAATAAAAAATGTGAAAATTTTATATGAAAAAAAAAACTGTACAAAATAGAAAACGATAAGTTATATTAATAAATAGGGTAAATTACAATGACCTCCCTTAAGGTTTGACTTAATTGCAACTAAACCTGATTTTTGTCAGTTTTTTGCAACTTGTCCCCCCTGAGTTTTGTCCAATTTTGCAAAGACCTCTCCCCTCTATACAAAAAGTTGTAATTTTTGTCATAAAATTGGTTTGAAGTGACCAAAATGCCCATAGTGTTATTACATAATAAAAAAAAATACAATAGTGGACCAAAATACCCTTAATACATACATACATATATATATATATATATATATATATATATATATATAAGACTCAAATGCAACCCAAATAAAATGAAATGCAAATTTGCAATTGATATTTTAAAATGCAACCCAAATGAAATTGAAAATGAAATGCAAATTTGCAATTAATATATATTTATATATAACTGTTACTTTACCTTTTTAGTTTTATGTTTGTTAAAGAGAGAGATGTTAGATAGAGAGAGACCTCTTTTCTGGCGGTGGAGAAAAAATGCCACTGAATGTTCATTTGAAGGTAAAAAATCTAGAATTATTTGGTTATTAATGCAATTCAAGTATTATTTTGTTCTTAATGCAATTCAAATCTTTATTATTTTGTTATTAATGTAGGTCAAGTCTATTGCATGTGTAGACACTATAATTTCATAGACTTTTGTTTTGGCAAATTGACCCACCAAATATGGGTCTCATGTTTAATTAAATTATTTAATTGACCCAAACTTGATCAACTTAAATTATTTAATTAGCTCAGCACAGGTGATTAAATAAAAAGATAATTATTCCTAATAAAATAT